AATTTGTACCCTAAAGGGTATAATAACATCTTCAAGGTGATGTGTCAACTATTTTGGAAACATGGTGAGGATTGACAAATAATATCTACCAACCACTAACTGTATTAAGTGGTTACAAGATTAATGCAAGATGTGGAAAAGCTACTCAGTGGCCATTTTAACATGTAGTAGTTAAATAGTATTGTATGTGCTATGGATTAGATAAATCAGTTTATTTGCTTTAAATGATTCCATGACAATCTTCAAGACAAATGGGATAAAATGGGAGGCACTTCATTTGAGCCTAAAATTTTAAATGTTCTTCCTCTTTAGTAAGATAATAGGGTAAATAACTAGCATTTAGCAGCCTATGAAATTATGGTGGGTTGGTAATTACAGTATGAATGTCAAGTAAAGTTAGTTTGTACACTGCTTTGATTCTATACATCCCATGCTATTTATATACAGAATGTAACTGCATTATCATTTATTTATTTATTTTATTTATTTATTCTTTATACTGGGTTACCTCTTCAGTAAGAAGTTACTGTTCTCCCAGAGGGCCCATTACACATAAAACATTAAAATATCAAGAAAAACAACACAGAACATAAAAAAAAACAAAAAAAAACAAAACAACTCATTCAAGTATTTATGTGAACTACTACAACTTCTAAAATAATATAGTTGTATTCACTTTCTAGGACCAATCGTGGGGGGTAAAGAATATCTCCATGTACCAATCAAGGATGCAAATGCTGGCTCACAATAATAATCTCATAATGAAGTATTACAAGATGAAATGCAGTGATCTTTAAAAGTCCCTCTATTAGATATTAACTTATTTTTTTATTTGCCATCTGATCCAAGTGATTTGGAACTTTAATTAAACTGGACACTGTATTTCTATTCCACCTGCTCTTGCCATTGTTTCACAATATAAACAAGTCCAATTTCTCTCCTCTAAAAATTTGTCAAAATACTTTATTGCTAACCAAAGTAAAAAAGGACTTGCTAATGTTAATAAAAAGTTTGTAACATTATAATCTTACCATCATGATTGCTGGTGGATGTTTCACCATGATAAGTGTTATCATCTGCATCATAAGGATTAAGCAGTGTTCTTATCTCTGCAGGTATCTCTGATTCAGTCATCCCCACTGGCATACTGGAACCTGCCGAGATTGGCATTGGTCTTCGCTCTTGTTCAGGTTTTACCAGCTTTTGTTTCTTCATTATGTCTTTCTTTGAGCGCATCTTTAAATTTTCATACGCTTTTCGGAGCTGTTTCTTTGTACGTTGATTTCTAACCATCGGTTGGGTATTGTATTCTTTTTCAACGTACGCCCAAGCAATTGCTTTCCGCTGTACCGCTGTGCTGTCATTCCTCCTGCTTTCAATAGCATCACGATACTGGTTGACAAGCGCCATTAGTATGTTGCGTTCGACCTCTGACATGTGTGGTGTCACTTTCATGGGTGATCCTGTTGCTATGGGTGATGTCGTTGCTGTTGTCGGTGTTCGGTTACTGGCCAACGAACTACAAATAAGTAGAAAGCGGTTGAAACCACCATCATGATGCATCTCTTCGATAGCTTAAACGGCCAAATCTAAAACATTTATTTCACTTGCAGCATATTTGGCTGCATTTTTGCTCTCCGCGGAACTAAAAGTGGATATAATGGCCATTACTATGTACCACGTCT